TGTTTGCTTGCCAGCTCGTGTCATTTCTAATAAATCATTGCTTACCCATTCTCAGACAGATAGTCATCGGCTACCTGCAGACGTGAGTAAGAATTCCAGTTTTATGATCTCAGGACATAAGCTGGGCGATGCCTTTTCTGAAGGCAGTGTTCGGTTTCACTTCCACTGGTGGCTTTCGGAAGAGTTTGCTGTTCTTTTGTTCTGTTTCCCAGGTGTATGCATGTGGGAAATCTTAATGCACGGCATCAAGCCTTTTCAAGGAGTGAAGAACAATGACGTGATTGGCCGGATCGAAAACGGCGAGCGGTTGCCGATGCCGCCCAACTGCCCGCCTACTCTCTACAGCCTCATGACCAAATGTTGGGCTTACGATCCCAGCAGGCGACCACGATTTACAGAACTGAAGGCTCAGCTGAAGTAAGAATTCCTTTTCTGCTCGCTCATATGTAATGTGCTCATTTTTCTGTGTGAAAATAATAGTCTTTATAGAGGGGGGGGGGAGCGCACAGTGATGGAGATTTGTTTGGAGCAAGGCGTTTCCTTGCCAACCAGGTTTTCATTAGTCTTGATTGCAATTTGGAACACCCTTGTTTTAAATGAACGCAATGTATGTACCCCAAGAATAACAGAATAATTGTAATTGAATCATGTCGTGGTCACATAATTGTTCTGTTTTATATTTTTCCGACAACATGTGAATGGCGCCTATTAAATGGCTGCCAAACACTTTTCTCTGGCACAAGCATCCATCGTGAAATCCTGGTTTCCTTTTCATAGTTTCTTGTTCTCATATCGACCATGTTGTACTATTGTGTTTTTTTATTGGTTGCAAGCAGAGATGGTCCCATGGTAGCATTTGGGCTATGGAGAAGCGGCTTTTCTTATTGCTTCAATAAAATTTTGTTTACAACTTTTAGCTTCCTTTGTAGAAGCTTAGATCGAGATACCTTCTAAATCAGCTCTGAAGCAAAATCTTCAGATTTTGTTGATTCTGTTTTTCTGTGACTTAGATGTCCGATCATATGGTACAATTATTAATAATAGGAGTTAAGCAGGATAACAATATGAGAAAAGTAATAAAAGCCAAAGCAAGCCCCAAATTCCACCCTCCAAATACCAAAGCAGAATTGTACTATAATTTATATTCAGCTTGTCCTTGACTTTACATTCACAATTGGGGCCAGAATTTCCATCGCTAAGCAAGGCGGTTGTTAAGTGAATCGCACATGATTTTAAGGGTATTTTTTGCCACGGTTGTTTAAAGCTATTGCTGCAGTTCTTAAGTGAATCACACAGTTGTTAAGCAAATCCAGCTCCCCCCCCCCGCCCCATTCACTGCTTGTTGAAAGCCAGCTGTGAACATTGTTGCCAGCTGTGGTGGTCACATGACCCTGGGATGGGATACAGTGAATACATGCTTGCTGTGAAGCGCTCAGATTTGGATGACTGCAGATGCTGTCTCCACTGTCTTGTAGGTGCAAGAACCAGGAGTAAGTCACTTTTTTCAGTACCGTTACAACTTTAAACACTGATTAAATGAATGGTTGTAAATCAAGGCCAGCGGCCAACAAAGCTGGCAGCAGATTTGGACAGTGAGGAGGTTGGGGAGGAACATGGGACAGTCCTGGAGTCTGGGGAAGGCTCTGAGGCAGAGAGGGGCCAGGGCCGTCTGACAGTTATCGGCTGCCTTCAGAGTCGGAGATCAGTGGGGCAGAAGAACAGCTGGAACCTGTTCCCAGTGCGCGCATGTGCAGAGCTGCCAGATGAAGGGAACAGCTAAAGGACAGGGGTCGACTTGGGAATAAGGCCACAGGTGGACAATGAATGTCCCCTCCCAGAGGAAATAAAAGAGGAGCGACAGGGGAGTGGAGTTTGCAGGAGACAGTTCGCTTAATTGGTTTCTTGACTCTCTGAGACTCCTTGCCAAGTTTTGCAGATATCAGCCTGGCAGCTCTCCAAGCCAGATAAGGCCTGTGACTGTAGATCCTCCCTTAAAAGACTTTGCTGGATTTTAATGAGCAGAATTCACAGTCAATTAATAAAAGAGTTTTTTGGTCGGGAGAAGGAGTTTGCTTCAGGCTCTTGGGAAGCCTTGGTCAGAACAGGATGATCTGGATATATCTAAATGGATTGGTGTCTTCTCAAAGGTACCTTAGAATAATTTGTTTTCCATAACTTGCCAGAAAGGGAGAAGCGATAGGGATTGGCAATTTACTTCCCCCTTCCCCGTCCCAGCACACACACACACACACACACACACACACACACACACACACACACACTTTACACATAGTCATTGATTTACAACTTC